TTTTTTAAAAATAATGTTAAGATGAACAATTCATCTATAGAGCATTTTTGTATAACTTTAACTATATGCTCAGCGCACGCCACGGAAGGCCTCAGAAACGATACTTTTCCCCCGTTTTTAAAACATTTTTGGTTACTGCTCCACAACTATAGGACCTAGCGTGATATTATATAACCTATGTTACTTCTGAATAATGCAGCTTTCTAATGGTGAAAAAATTATTGCATTCGGTCCAGTAGTTTTTGAGTTTATTCATTACAAACATACAAAAATACAAATCTTTCCTCTTTATAATATTAGTATTAGTATAGATAAAAATGAATCCCTTTTTCCCTTGGTCACGCGTCAATGGCTGGACCGATTTCGCTAATTCTTTTTTTGTTGTATTTGTTATTATTAGGAGAAGGTTCTTATGACTTAAAACAAATAATCCTGTAATTCCTACGGGAACGGGAGAAAACGGGGTTGCGTGTACGAAGTCGCGGGCTGAAGCTAGTTATTCTATATATTTTATTCAGATAGTAGAATAAGGAACCATTGCTCAGTATCCACATTAGCAGCCGCTTCACATTTCGAATGTTAGTTAAAGTCAAAATAATTTATTTCAATTAGATCAGGAAGGCACTTGAACGTCAAAAATTTAGTTTTAAGTTTGTCTTTTTCTACTATTTTAAAATCGATGTTTGACATTCTGAAACTACTAAATGACTTAACAATGCTACCCTTTGAAACTTAACAAATTAATACAATCAAAGTCAAAGTCAAAGCATTTATTTCAATTAAACCATAGTTTGGTACTTTTGAAACGTCAACAAATACAAAATAAATAATAGTCTGTCAGGCAGTCCGTCATTGAAGCTAGGTGAAGCTAGGTGCTCATTCCAAAACGTAGATTCGAATGGAGAAGAACGAGCAAGAAACTCCATTCGTTACTGTTTTAAAAAAAAGTAGGTATGTAATATTTGACCTGACCACTTCAGACGCAGTTTTAAAACCGTGGTAACATTTCAATGCGCGGAACATAAAGTGTGTGAATCCGCAAGAAACACCAAGATTATGGAGATGGAACGTACTAAAACAATACAAGTATATTTTCTGTCTCCAGGAAGAAATAGCGCGGCGGCAAAATTTCGACTTAACGACGAAGATTACAAGAGAGACGGCGACACCTACCAATGTGCGCGGTGCGACAAGAAATATGACAAGTTCTACTCCCTAAGATTCCACGTAAAGACGAAACATTATAAAATTCCACGATTTTCATGCAATATATGCCTCAAAGAGTTCATGACGCCGGCGCCTCTAACTGTACACAAACTCGAAGAGCACAATATAGATGATAGGTTCAAATGCAAGGCCTGCAAAGGGATTTTCAATACGAAAATTCAGTTAAGGAAACATATAAATAATTTTCATATGCTCGGTGAGAGGTACAAGTGTGAGTTCTGTGAATATGAGTCCTTCAGCTTCGAAGGCATGTACAAGCACAAATTTAAACATAAAACTGTCAAAGACTATCATTGTAGGTTCTGTAGGAAGTCGTTTTTAAGGAAAACTACATTGGATTTACATGAACGGATACATACAGGCGATAGGAGGAAGGTCTGCAGTGTGTGTGGGCAGGCGTTCGTTCAAAAGGCTAGCTTGAATTATCATATGACTAAATACCATCCTGAAGTCAATTTCTGAATGATTAGTTGCCGTGACTCAGATACATTTAATGATTGCTTCAACTATATCTTATTTATGACTTTTTTTAAATAAATTAACTAAAAATTTAAGAGTTATTCATGTAAATATACTGAGAAAAGCTCTATTAGTTTCGAGTCCAGAGCGTGGCAACCGATTCCCTCACGGAGCAACTCTTTGTGTGATCCACAGATTGTTGTTCCGGGTCTGGGTGTCATGTGTATGTGAACTTGTATATTTGTAAACACACCCACGGCACAGAAGAAAATCCTAGTAGGGGCAACGTTAAAAAATAACTCTTTCTCAGGGTGGGATATGTCATTTTGGTCCGAAAACAATTGATAAGGACCGGGTGAAGTAATCATTAAATGACTGTGCCGTACAGTAAATTGTGTAATACTTTTATAATGATGTCTGCTCTGTTCCTAAATGTCGTAGCGTAATGTACTTCAACAATTAGGTTGAAAATGAGAAATATAATGTTTATATTATTGCGCATATCAGAGGCTTTCGGCTTTCTGCAATCGAGACCGCGTTCGGCGCTCTGATTGGCCGGCTCCTATGAACCGACCAATCAGAGCTTTGAACGCGGTCTCGATTCGATTCGATTTCTTTAAAGTCGTACTAAGCTTTCAGGCCGGCTGGCCAGTGCTCGCTGTTATTGCAGTGGTAAGTCCCCTCTTTGAGACGCCGTAGCGTCTCTCTAACCACTCGGCTTGAGAGACGTTATGGGATAGTAGTATGTAGGAACGGGGTGGTTTTTAGTCAGTAAGAGTCTGAAACTCCCTCTCGCCTCACCCAGGCGGCAGCAGTCATTCGATGATTTTTCATTTTCCCCCTCAAAAAAGGCGCGCGGGTCGGCCTAAATGCTTTGTTTCGGATTTACATTGGACTCGTAACATAAATAGTGAAAAGTAGTTGTTACATTGTAAATGTGGACCTGTGTCTACCTCTTCATGTATTAAACTGTCAAACACCAAGCGGTCACCGCCCAATAGGGCCGATGCCGATTCGGAGTCGCGGAGAACCTAACGGGTAACCGGGGCTCCGGCTCGACGTGCAGGAGAAGGAACGGGGTGGTTTTTAGTCAGTAAGAGTCTGACACTCCCTCCCGCCTCACCCAGGCGGGGGCAGTCATTCGATGATTTTCCCCCCTTAAAAAAAAAAAAAAAAATTGTTCTATAATTGTGTCTATAATGACGGTACTCGACGAGTTAAAAGTCGTTACATTTCGTTAAAATATTATAAAATTTGTGAGTTGGTGTGTTTGCATATATGTTTCTTACTCCTTCACGTTACAGCCTCGTTGATCGAGTCGTCGCATGTGCGACTGCCGGGCAAGGGGTCTCGGGTTCGAGTCCCGGGTCGGGCAAAGTATTACTGGGTTTTTAAGAAATTCTCAGTAGTAGCACGGAGTCTGGAATTGTGCCCGGTATATGGTAATAGGCTCACCCCCTATTACATGGGACTCATAGCATAAATAGTGGAAAGTGGGTGTTACATTGTACAGTGGCATAATGTGCAGCTCTGCCTACTTCGGGGATAAAAGGCGTGATGTTATGTATATATATCCTTCACGTTAAAACGGCTGAAGCAATTGGGATGAAATTTGGAACAGGGATAGATAATGGTTTTTTTTAAGGGGGGAAAATCATTGATTGACTGCTCCCGCGTGGGTGAGGCGGGAGGGAGTGTCAGACTCTTACTGACTAAAAACCACCCCGTTCCTTCTTCTGCACGTCGAGCCGGAGCTCCGGTTACCCGTTAGGTTCTCTGCATCCATGGTGGTCTGATGGCTCTTTGAGGCGCGCGCAGAACGCGACGCGCCGTACGCTCGGGTTAGATAATGGTCTGGAATAACACATGGGTTACTTTGACCCCACGAGAACACGGGTGAAGTCGCGGGCCGAAATTAGTGTAACGTAACATTACGCTACATCATTTAGGAACGAAGTATGTTAGAACAGCTGGTATTACAATATAATTATGGTAAATAGCAATATGTATAATGCAATTTTAGTTTTATATACACTGCAAATACTGACTGACTGCCTCGTTGGCCGAGTGGTCGTAAGTGCGACTGCCGGGCTAGGGGTCTCGGGTTCGATTCCCGGGTCGAGCAAAGTATTACTGAGTATTTTTAAATATTCTTAGTAGTAGCACGGAGTCTGGAATCGTGCCCGGTGTATGGCAATAGGCTCATCCCCTATTACATGGGACTCATAACATAAATAGTGAAAAGTGGGTGTTACATTGTACAGTGGCATAATGTGCACCTCTGCCTACCCCATCGGGGATAAAAGGCGTGGTGTTATGTTATGTTTGTTATGTTATGATGTGATGTTGATAAGATTCGAAATTGTACATAAAGGTACAAACATCCAAACTATTTACTATGTAGGTAAGATAATAGAGATTGATTCAGTACAGAGGCAGTAGCTATTGTTAATACTAAATTGTGTACTTTTCTTAATCAAAAATAAATTATTTCGACTATTCAATACAATAAAATATTAAAAAATAATCACACATTTCAATAATTGATTTTAAGACCAACTTAATTATTTATTTATCTATTTATGCACAACACACAGACAGTACACAGGAGAACATATATATAAATAATTTGGAGGTACATAGGTACTACATATTCCCGTAGGAATCTTCCTGCAGTCCTTCGACAGGAAAAACGGTAAAAACTAAGACACTGTGCGTAATGTGCGTAACATGACATGAACAAAGAAAAAGAATGTTTATTATTGTATTTTTTCAGAATTTTTTTAATAAATAAGTATGCTGTTTGACGCTAAAAAACTGTGACGTCACAATACACAATCTCGTACAAAATTCATAGAAAACTGTCGTTTTTGACAGTTCGAAAAAAGTATTTAACTTGACTATAATAGTTGGCAAGTTGTAACGAGGCCATATCTTTTACAACCATTGGTCGGCTCTAGACAACCAATAGCTACTGTCTCTGTACTGAATCAGTCTTTGTTTTCATACCTGCATACTAAATGACTTGACTGATTGTACATATAATTTAGTTACATTATTTTTATAGACTGAATAATAATATGGTGTAAAAGAGATGTTTTTTCATTGGAATCGCGTATTATGGTATTTAAATTATCAAATACATTTGAGAGCAAAGTAACGGAGCCACTAGCATTTTTTTCTTGTTCATTTCTTGATAATACTGTCCGATACAAGTATTTTTTTAATTGGTAACGTTTGTGGTATATTAGGCTATTTAGTTGAATTTAGTTACCTTTAACTACTCACGTGGGTGTCTCATAGACGGCGTGTTCACGAATATAAGAATTTTCCAAAAAAGCGTCCAAATAATTGTATTGCAGCTAAGATTGTAACATACATTTTTTTAAGTTATGCGAAATATAGTTTATTGAATTTGAACTAAAAACCGCTGATTTCATCCGAAAATGTTGTTTTTTTTGCACTTCCTTAATAGAATTATAATGGACCGATCATAATACAAGTAAATATTGTGCAAATCAGTAAATAAAATCTCCATTCATCCATTTCGATTATTTATTAAGGTGTTTGACATACCTCACGTACTCACGTCACCATTTATGGTATGAGTTAACCACGTCAGGATTTGAATGTTAAAATGAGAGCATTACAAAATGCTCTCGTAAAAGGTATATTTTTTTAAATTAATACACCGTGATATTTATTGTTTTTTCGTCTCGAAGTAAAATGGTTATGTCTCGATAATACAATAGTTTTACAAAGAAATTAAATGTTCAAAACAAAAAATAATGTGGACCATTGCAAAAACTAAATTTCGAAAGCGCATACGAACTCGTAGTACCTACATAATCAAAACATCACGTCATGTAAGTCTCGAAGAGGTATTTCTCGGTGGCACATGTGATGCGAGTAGTGCCTAATTTACATCTAGTGTCTTGTATTATATGTGAAAGTCAATGAATATATTTTTTCCATTTCCATCCTTAGTATACCTAAAAACCTAAAAATAAAGCGAAAATAATTTGGGCACTTTCTGTCTAGGACCTTAGGTTCGCCTGAAAATAAGCTCTATAGGTCAATTGGCGGAGTATGAAAAAAGCGCTTTTTATCGCTCAGCGGCCGCTGCCGCAGCACCGCTCGGTGCGCTCGCTCACCTCGTGCCTTGTGAGGATCACAGTTTTAATCTAACCTAACCAAATGTGTCGGGGTGCCCAAAAAGTGTTTTTACATGAGTATTTAAAACACTGGGAGACCCCAACTGACCTTTAGGGCTCATTATCAGGTGAACCTGAAGCCCTAGATAAAAAGCGCCCAGATGATATTCGCCCTATTTTTAGATATACTAAACGATAGAAATGAAAAACCAGCCATTTATAAGAATTCTTATTTTTGATGAAAAAGTCCTAAACTCCTTACACACCCTTTGCTACACTCCAACCATAGATTTTACGGTGTAGGTAGAGGGTTCAATAAAATGAAAAAAAAAAAAAATCGTTGGTGACTCCGTTTATTTGATCTCAAGTGTAATTATGAATTTGATATAATCAATGTGTGTGCTGCATTTTCTATTATTGTGTTATGCGAAAATGTATGCCTTTGACAATGCAATGTTTTAAATTGGGTACTTTCCTTTATCAACAATTTTATTCGACTGTTCAATACAATATAATATTTAAAAAATAATCCCACTTACATTACTTGATTTTATAACAACTGAATTTTAGCATTTTCCACCAATTTTTTAAGAAATAAGTTACGCTGTTTGACGCTAAAAAAACTGTGACGTCACAATACACAATCTCGTACGAAATTCATAGAAAACTGTCGTTTTTGACAGTTCGAAAAAAGTATTGAATTTGACTAGTTGGCAAGTACCCGATTGATAGTACATAATTCACTATAAGTTATTATTTTAACGATTAAAATGTGTACAACGAATTTTTAAATTATTATATATATATATGCTTTTTTATGTATAAACTACATATTATAATTTTATTAAATGTTAAAAAGGTCTCAAATTCGATTCCTATGTCGGGAAAAAATTACTTTTGTAGAAAGGGTAGCTTATATATTTTAATATCACAAAATATGCAGTTAGACTGCTTGTCTTGTTTGCGTTTTTATCAACCACCGCTAAACCATCTTACGAGTTACTTAGCGTAAGGGAGCACCTAAACTTTGCCTCTTTTTTAAGGGGGGAAATTCATCGAATGTCTGCTCCCGCCAGGGTGAGGCGGGAGGGAGTGTCAGACTCTTACTGACTAAAAACCACCCCGTTCCTTCTCCTGCACGTCGAGCCGGAGCCCCGGTTACCCGTTAGGTTCTCCGCGACAATTAAAGAACAATAGGTTGCGGTCACCGGTG